CCCATCATCATTGTAGGGCCCAGGTGATGAAATGTGGCAAAAAAAGAAGGATAGAGGAGTGTGGCAGTAAGGAACTGGGAGATAAAAGCTAAAGCAGAGATTGAAACACTGCTAGGATGATCACACAATAGATCCACAGACAGCTGTTCATGCTCACAGAGGGAAAAAATTCCTAGGAACCAGACAGAAGGACCTGCTGTGCACTGACATGCTGGGCAGCTGGATACTTATTTGTAAGTCCTTTCATTTTTGTCCTGTCTTGCATAGTTATTTTCAGATTTCGGATTTAGTTTATTCTTGTTCTTAGTTTCAAAGCTGTTTTGAACATCCTTATACATACTGTGTAATGAAATAGTCTAGGCAGATCTCCCTTAAAGCCTTGTATGTCTGGGGGTCCTGTATTTATATTCTAGAAGGTTCCTCCTGGATTATTTTCCCCCATTTAACTATTTAAAACTTTTTTTTTTTTTTATAGCTTTAATACGTGCAACAGTAACTTTCCAATGTTTCTTTCTATTTATATGTGAACACATGAAGTCCTTCTTTGGGTCATTGTTTTGTTCAGGTTTAGAAGCTGACATCCCTTTCTAGGTACTCACTATAGCCCTATTTTTAGGAAGGGGCAAGTCTTGCTGTCATATCCCTTACAGATTTAAAAGGCACCTCAGATACAGCCATCTCAAAATGCTTTGGAGGGAAATACTAAAAAAAACATTTCCAACAATTCTTGTCTTGTATCATATTAGAGCCTCTAACAGCAGTGGGAAGACAGGAAAAGTGGAAAAAAAAATCTCTTTTGAAAACATGATTTTTCTGTTGCATCATTATTCAAACTCACAAGTGACTGATATGCAAAGGAACAAGAATGGAGAAGACTTGAACATTTCCCCTCAGTTCTTGGAAGTCCAGCATGTCTAGTAACTAATTACTTTTTATATTTTCTGACCATTAATAAAATTGCCCCACACTTTAATCGCTTAGGAATTTGGTTGGTTCGGGTTTTGCATTCAGTAGTTCTAATAGATATATATTTGTATGTGATTTTAAGGGGTTTTTTGCATTTGGTAATTCTAGAAGGTATTTATTTTCCTGTGAATTTTACTTTTTTCCTAAAGTACGTGCCATTTTATAATGAATTTTAATTGCTTTTACTGTACTACTTGACCTTTATGAACCTTTTTCAAGATATGTTTTAATAGAATTATAGAACAGTTAGTGTTGGAAAGGACCTTAAGGTCATCAAGTTCCAACCCCCCTGCCATGGGCAGAGACACCTCACGTTAAACCATGTCACCCAGGACTCCCTCTAACCTGGCCTTGAACACTGCCAGGGATGGAGCATTCACAGCTTCCTTGGGCAATCCATAGTATTTCATATGGCAAAATTTCTATTTCATATGGAGTTCTAATCCATACAGCTGAATTTTAGCTATGTTTAGTGTTTGCCATATAGAGTTTTTAGCAGCTGTTATTTAACTTCATTATTAGCTATCTCTTGCAATGCAATTTTGGGGGTACAGGAGGCTTGGGGTATCTTGTTTTTTCTGAGGAGAGAACGCCACTGACTGACTAATTTTAGGCCACAAAGAGAAAAATACTGCAAACGAAGTCAAAAGCATGATTCCAGTTCTAGCTAAGATATTCTTTTGACTGCACAGATGAGCTAAGAATCTATTTCCTGACTTCGGTGTATAAGCCTTTATGGAAACATACTGTCTTTTGACAAATAGAGGAAATCTAGCATTAAATTTTCAAATTATTAATTGCTGATCTTTTCTTACTGGTATCCAGTGACAGGACATACTGGAGTAGTTCAAAGCTGCAGCACAGGAGATTCAGTCTCGACATTAGGAAGCATTTATATAATGAGTGGTCCAACACTGGAAAAGGCTTCTTAGAGAGGTGGTCAATGCCTCAAGCATGTCAGTGTTTAAGAGGCATTCGGGCAGTGCCCTTAAGAACATGATTTAACTTTTGGTCAGCCCTGAATTGGTCAGGTAGTTATACTAGGTGATCACTTGTAGGTCCTTCCAACTGCCACTATTCTAAAATAAAGCTAAAATTTCTGATTATTATTATTAATGGTAGAATTCTTGTGTAGTAGTTTATTTCAAAGATAAAATCTGTTTTCTGTAGAGGCTAGAATATTCTTCTTTTGCCCTAAATACCCTTTGCTTAGAAAACCCTTAGCACACTCTTTAAACACATCACGGGCTTAAAAAATATCTAAGTTAGAGAAGTTGATACAGATACGACCAAATAGATTCTGTGTCTGGTTTAGATGAATTAGTTAAACTGGTATGTGATTGTCACTGTTGTCTCCATGTTGTGTTGTCTTGTACTTTGAGGGGTAAACAGATGTTCTTGAATTCTTATAGGTATACACAGAATTTTTTTATAACATTCTTGATTTTTTGCTCTAAAAAAGGGTGAAATCTTTTATATGGCAAAATATTCAAACCACAATTTACCTATCTTTTTCATTATTTCTTTTATGGGTTAAGTTTGCAAGTACTTCTAGTTAGTCAAGTGCTGTTACGAGTGGACTCTAACAATGTGGAAAATAAATGTGTTTGCTTAGTTACCTTTCTAGGACTAAGTCATCACTCACTGACTTTCCAAACCCAATTGAAAAGGAGGTTGGCAAGTTTAGTTGAAAAGGAGGTTGGCAAGTTTTGGTGAGAAATGGGACATCAGCATTTTTGAGCTGTGAAGAGAATTGACTGAGAGGAAGACATAGTTTTTGTAGAAATGCAATGAAACCTCAACTGAAATCATTGTTCATTGTACTACTACATCCTAATGCTAGGTGGAATTTTAACATTGCAACAGAAATCTTTTATATTATTTTTCACAGATTTTTTACTAAAGCTGGTATCTCATTTACTCTAAGCCATGCTGTAATTAACATTTGCAGTCCAAACAAGCGTTGGGTGTCCAGTATTTCATTTGTGTTCTGCAGTTTTAATCTCAGTGCATTTTGGTCCATTACTTGTAAGATGTCAGTTAAAAATTAAAAGAGGACAATTCAAGAATGTTTCTTGGCTTTTCCAAAATTCATGAGTTTTTTTCCTTTCTCTTTCCATTCTTTGCATTTATATAGGAAGGCAGCTGCCTTCAGATGATCCAGAACTCACTGACAGTTTCTCTTGCTTCAGTCCTACTCCATGAAAACTTCAGAAGATACTAACTGAGGTATTTATTTGTTCTTTTCACTTTTAGGATTTCTACTTTGTAGTTATTAGATTGGTAGAAGAGCACATACAAAAGAGGCAATGAATTTAGACCAGGAAGAGTAATCATGAAAGGAAAATAACACAAAAGTTCTGTCAGTAAGGAGAGCTGCTGGGTCTAATCTCTGGGATCTGATCTAATCTCTTTCTGTAGCTGGACACCATCTTAGTCAATTTTTTTATAAAAATAATTTCAAATATGCCAAAAGGAAACATATTAAAATGCAGTTAAAGTGTTGCTTTTTTGGGGGGGGAGGTCTTCTATTGAGTTTTATCTGATCCTCTGTATTTCTCCAAGAATGGATGAAATATTTTGCAGGAAATCCCTGAACATGAATGTTCAGTCATCTAAATAATGACTAAATAACAAAGCCTTCTAAACAATGAAGCCTTCTAAACTATCTGGCATTTATAGGTTTTTTTCTCTAATACTTGAAGGGAATTTCAATTAAAGAAAAGCTTTGGTGTTAATGCAGCATATAATGCTTTTGTCCCAATTTATCTTTCATAAATCCATGAGATTAAATATAAAAGCTGTTTTAAGGATATTGATAAATATTTTCTTCTGAAAAATATTTGTCATTTTTGTCAGATAACAGTGAGTTAATTCCTTTGCATAGAAAATGTTTTCTCCATTTGTATATGTAAACGGAGTCTGAGAAAGGATTAATGACCGAAGAATTCATAAAGAGAAAAAGGTCTCTTGTAAGCCTGTGATCAGCTGGATTTATGTCAGTGCTAAATTTATGATCTGCAGCTGTTAAACATCTGATAGGAACTTCATCTTCTAATGCATGATAACCATGCGAGTGCATAGCTAGAAAAAAGGAAACATTGTGCTTTGAAAAATTGAATTGTCCAAACATAAGGATGATGATTGCAGTGCTTCACATACAGCAAAACTTTATTCTGTAAAGCTTACAAATGAAAGCTTTAATGCTTTTTAAATTGCAGCTACCTACATAAATTCTAAGATGACATAGGTTGAAAGAAACGTAAATTCTAAGATGTAATAGGTTTAAAGAAAGTTGGTTGGTTAGTGTTTGTATATTCAGCCTAATGTAAGCAGTGCTGGGCTGGAATTTTTGTTTCTGCATTTGAGAACTCAAAGCTTAAATGGCACTGAAAAAAAGATGTCTTAGAATTTCTGTAATATTATCTTAAAATATGTAATATGTACAACTTTTTTCTGTAGCTCTTGATATTTATATGTAGGTTTCTTAAGTACCAAAAATGGCTTAACCTTTTGGAAATGTTGGTAATTGTTAGTATAGTTATTGTATAAAATTCATCTGTGTTATTATAAATATATGCATTTCCTTTTTTTAAAGAGACTTTATATACCAGCCAGTATAGATTACAGTTAAAATAATGTTAGCATTAAGATTAAAAAGCTTTTTTTAAAAATTACTATTTAAATTTAGTTGAATGTTACATGTGGGTTTGGAAAATAAGTTTTTTGTTTCTAACTTTACATTTTGTGCTGTTAGCAGCTAATTATATTACATGCAGATTCTATGAAGTGCTGCATATTCTGAGATTTTAATAAAGCAGTTGGTGTTACATGACAGGTTGGGCCAGTTTAGTATGCATTATGGATTGGTTATGTCTTACAGTGGGGCAGTTCATTTCTGGAGTCAGTACACAACCATTTTAGCAGTAGAATTAGCCGCTTATGTCACAGATTATAATTAGCTGCGTCTGTACGCCAAAGCAACAGGATGGAATGCAAAACACAGCCAAACATGTGAACGAATTTTCTTCCAGTGATATTTGCCCAGGCTCAAAATATCTCCCACTCCAGATTTGAAAGTAGTGGAAAAGTTAGACAATTCTCTCTTGGGAAGAGACTGATTGTAGCTTATTCAGAAGTCCACATTATTTCAGATCTCTAAGGTAAGTAACAATTCTTTAAATTTGTTTTTATATCTATATTAAAATATTAGCATATTAATAATTGAGTTGGGTTTTGTTAGTGCTTATTGCATTAATGTATTGAGCTTCTCGCCCATCTGATTTCTGTGCAACATTTCAGGGTGATTCTGTCCTTATTTAAGGATCATGTTGGTACTCATGATTTATTTTAGGACAAATTCAAGTGTTAATTTTTATATACAAGTATTATTTTAGATTCTGATAGTTTAATTATGCTTGTTTCTACAATTAAAGGCAGTATTAAGTTGCACAGTTTAAACTTGTGTAATATTAAGAAGCTTTTAGTAATTTTAAAATCTTTTACAATATCATATTACTATACTTACATAAATATCTAGTTTGCAATAGTGAATCCCTGATGTTTGCAGCTCTAAATCTTTCTCAGTTTATCGATCACATAGTAAAAGTCAAATTTAGTCAAGAATGGATCTGTTCTTCTGCTGAGTATTCCTTTTTTTGGTTTGACAGTGTAATAATAACCTTGCATCTGAGGAACTGTTACCAAAATCAGTTCTAAGTTCTGTGAAACACACTTGAATTAATGTTGAACATTGAACTATGTGTATAGAGAACTTCTTTTACATGTTTGTAATCTCCTTAAATTCAGATACATTTTCACTTGAATAATTTCTCTGACTGAAAGAAAATTACTAACTAGGTATCAGTTGGTTACTGACTCATTATGATTTACTGGATGATACTTGGTGTGTCTTCACCAACAGGTGGTTGCACTGCATATTTAACCATGCATCAGAATAAGCACATAAGTTCCTAAAACAAGCTGTTGCCAAAGAGTAGGAATGTGATTTGACTACTGATTTGACAACAGTCATCTAGGCTGCTTTTGTAGAGATTTGGGTTGTTTCACCATATCTGTCTTAAAACTCCTCCTAAGAGCAAGAGATTAATAATGTCCTAGAAGCGTCTGCCTCTCTTCATTGTCTGTGGAGGGGGCCTAGGTAAGTATGGTTGATGTTGATGATCTTTTTCCTGTTAGGGTGGTGAGGCACTGGACTGGGTTGCCCAGGGAGGTTGTGAATGCTCCATACCTGGCAGTGTTCAAGGCCAGGTTGGACGAAGCCTTGGGTGACATGGTTTAGTGTGAAGTGTCCCTGCCCATGGCAGGGGGGTTGGAACTTGATGATCCCAAGGTCCTTTCCAACCCTAACTATTCTATGATTCTACCTGTGTTTAGTGAGACGAATTCTGTCCTGCATAGCCACATCCAAATGAGTAATCCACATGAGTGAATTGTAGTACCTTTGTGCCATAGAGTTCTGAAATTTTGCAGTCTGTTAAGATTTTGGAATTTTTACTGGAGATGTATAGTCACAACTGATACCAGTTTGGCTGAAATGAATGTCTGTTCTAAACAAGTGTGATATTTACATATTAGATACATATTTCCTCTCCATTACATAATGAAGATCCAGTAGTCCTAGAATACCACCAAAGGGTAAGAACCACTACATGGAGATAAATTAAAAATAAAAGGAGCTAAGTTAAGCCCAGCATTAAAGGGAGCCAGTTAAAATGTCTTTCTAAACTTTTACACTTTTGCTAATAACATGCAGTTTTTTTCTGGTTGAAAACTCAGTGGTTAAAAGCAGGTTATATTTTAGTTTTTATTCTTAATCATAAGGTTTTAGTAGGTTTGTAATTACACAGATGTGTGACTATGCTTAGTGTTGAGAATGCTCAAGCGAGAACATTGTGTTTTAAGCTAAGGGAGAAGACCTTTGTAGGAAGAATTGAAAGAAAGAAATGGATGTAGTGTATCTGACAAACCCAAGCCCCTGTCAAAAGGCAGAGAAAAGTTGTGTGTCCTTTTCCTTTAATAGAATGTGAAAAGTAATGCCTATTACATGAGGTACGAATCCCAGGTCCTGATATTTTTTAATTATCTTCATGATTTTTGATTAAGTGAGATGGATTTCCTGTGGATTTAATTCTCAGAGTTGATTGTCTTAGATGTTTAATGAGCAGTGACTGAAGGTTTTCCATAACAGACATTTACAAGGTCTTTCTCACATACACGTTTTCTGATATCTAATAAGGTCTTTTTGCCTATTGCAGTCTTTCAGTGGAGACAAATGAGGCTGCTTCTTCTCTCTGTGTCTCATTTTCAGAAAGTTTGTAGGAATATAGTATTTCTGAGATCTCTACTTGTCTGTTGAATTTGGTTGAAATTGGCCAAGAAACTCAAGCTGTTGTAGGAGGGAGGGAAATGAATGGCAGACAGACAATTTACACATAGAGTGCCATGGCTTTTTTATTTATTAAAGAGCATCATGGCAGTTTGGATAACAGGTTAATTCAATATCCTGGTCAAATTTTCAGCTTAGTAATGATATTCTCACTATTTAATTCATCTGTAAGTTTGGCTACCTGGGCCAGTCTTCTCATTAGACCTTTCTGTATATCTGCCAAAAGCTGTTAAGCAGCTGCTACATATCATGCCATGGCTGGTTATGTTTCTGTGGTGGATGAAGTACTTCTGTAAAATAATGTGAATAGGAATATAAAGTACATAAATAATTTTTAAAATTGAGTATGGTATGTGCTAAGTGTTGGATATTACTGATGTTAGCCAGTTTTTACTGAGATATATGGTATGTTTATGTGTGTGCTTGCATGCGTATATCCTGAAGGTTATTTTGTATGAATCATGTATTTTCAATAATGGGATAGAATCGTAGAATAGTTTGGGTTGAAAGGGACCTTCAGAAGTCATCTAGTCCAACCCTCCTGCAATGATCAGGGACATCTTCAACTTGTCTGCCTGTGTGAAAGTTTTCATAGTAGGGATAAGAAGGAGGAGGAAAAGGCTGGCTGGTGTTTGGCCAAGTGTCAAAGAGGAGAGAGTGAGCATGGTGGACACTCGTGAAAGTCAGCGTGGATGAGGCAGACAAGGCTGCATATATTCTGATTTTACAGAAAGACATATTTGACAGCTAAAGAAGTGAAAGTTTACCCAGAGGACACCCAGTGCAAAGTTTTATGTAATGTGGATGGATGTAGTGGAGAGTTCTATGGAGATGGAGCAAAACTTTCTGTGGGATGGGGCAGCAAAACCAGGATAGAAGGTGGTAGTCCTATGCTGCCTGTGCTACTTTTTAGGCTATTTTTCTAGTCTCAAATGCTCAAACTTGTATACTTTTTCAGTCCTACTTTTTGGTGTAATAAGGGATACTTCTTTTAGCCACAAAACTGTATTGTATTATATTCCCTGTAATATTCTACTTCTAGTTTTGTGTCATTACGATAGTTATATTCCATTTAATGAAAATACAGAGGAAGGGGTCTGAAAACTTACCTTGCTTAAACACAGAACAGTATTATGAAATAGCGTATTTCATTCTGCATGATTTCACGAGTCATTTAATAATTATGTGGAATGCACATTTGAAGATAATGCTTTCAAACAGAAATGCAGGTTTTATATTCATGAAGTTGTAGAAGACTATTAATGTATTGTTATAATGGAGAAGAAACTGCATATAAGCTATATTTCATAAAACCACTCTGTGTTTATCTGTGTACCTCACAATATTTTTCAATTGTCTATTTCATTGAAATTCTGTTAATAAAAGATTTCATGATCTGTGAAAGTACTCATTTTTTATGTTTAGATTCATATATTTTATTTTGTTTTTAGCTAAACATTTATTGAACTGATAGTGTTGTGGTTCAAACTTGGTGATTTCTTTTAACTGATTTTAGTCATGTTTATAGAAGACAAAGCCATATTCCCTTTGCCATAGTGAAAACATCTACATGCTATTTAAATTAAGAACATTAAAATTACCATCTTCCTGTATCAGAAATCCTCAGATACACAGTAATGTCTGCCTTAAGTCAGAAAAAAAAATCAAAACTAGCATTTGAAAGTTGTCTAGAAATCAGCACTTTGATTTAGGACTGCTGTAAAGCATATGTCTAGAATGCTTCATCCCTGCCAGTGTTCAAGGCCAGGTTGGACAGAGCCTAGGGCAACATAGTCTAGTGGGAGGCATCCCTGCCCATGGCAGAGGGGTTGGAACTAGATGATCTTGAGGTCTTTTCTAACCTTAAACATTGTATAATTCTGTGAATGTGAAATAATGCAAACAGATGCCACAGAAAGCAAAATTATTCTTTCAGTAAGCCAATTTTAATTGAAAGTTAAGAATTTTAATAGTAACTGCTTATTTAAATTTCAGATTAAGTATTTTATATTGAAAATATACTTTCAGGCAGAAGGATGATGTATACTATATCGAATGAGAGATTTTGCTCTTTGTTTAGTTTGGAATGCATGCATACTTAACATGTACTCCTGGGTTTTGTTTATCCTTCGTTTTTGCAGTTAATTGTAAGATCAGCTACCTCTTTCCTGTTGGTTTTAATGCAAGTGGTATACTGATCAATACCAGTATTTGTACATTTTGCCATGATCTTCATCTTCTGTGTTTCTTGCATTGCATTATTGCCTTGTCACGGTTGCTGAAGAAACTTAAGAGTCAGTTGCTCCCTAAAGAGTTGAAGTCAGCATCACCAAAAAAGGCTTCTGTAGGACGTCTTGATGATTTCCTTGTGTGTCTAATACACATTTAAATTAATCTGCTTTTCCCCTGTGTAAGTAAAAATGAGTAATAAAGCTATTATAGCCAGGGCTGAAATGCAACAGGAACACATCAGTTTGTGTTCATTGACATTTAAAATTCATCAGAAAAGGTCAGGGATTTAAAATATATAATGAGGCACAATATAGATAGGAAAGCATTTTGCTTCCCTTCCTACTGAAAAGGAAAGTGAACTTTTGATTTTTAGTTTAGTTTCATGTGACTTTTCAAAAAAAGTACTGTTATGAATTTCTAGATGCAAGGTTGAATTACTCTTCTTTCATAGTTTTTAAAACAGCTGTGATAGATCACTTGAGAGGGAAGACATGAGGCTTAATTTTCATCTCTACTGTATGTTTCTAGTTGAATTCCTTGTTTCTTTGGTGTATTTTCACTTCACTATTCAAAGAAAGCATCACAAGGTAGCAGTATAACTCCATTTACTATGTGAAATAATTTAGTAACACTAAATAAAGAGCTTTTCTCAAGGTCGTGTCATGATTCAACCTTGCTCGGCAGCTAAGTCCCACACAGCTGCTCTCGCACTCCCCCTTGGTGGGCTGGGGGAGAGAATCAGAAGAGTAAAGGTGAAAAAACTCATGGGTTGAGATGAAGAGATAGAGGTTTAATATTAAAGCAAATCAAGAATTAACTCACTGCTTTCCATTGCGGGCAGGTGTTTGGCCATCCCCAAGAAAGCAGGGCTCCCTCACACAAAAAATGGTTACTCAAGAAAACAACCATCAACCCGAACATCATCCCCCTTCCTCCTTCTTCCTCCCCACCTTTATATGCTGAGCATGATTCCATATGGCATGGAATATTCCTTGGGTCAGGTGGGGTCAGAGGTCCTAGCTATGTCCCCTCCCAACAACACCCCCAAACTACTGCTGATGGGGTAGGGTGTGGAACAGAAAAGTCCTTGGCTCTGTGTAAGCACTGCTCAACGGTAACTAAAACATCCCTGTGTTATCAACACTGTTTCCAGCACAAATCCAAAGCACAGCCCCATTCCAGCTACTATAACAGAAAATTAACTCTAGCCCCACCAAAGCCAGGACAGTCCTCAACCAGCATATGAAAGCACTACAGAAAGGAGTTTGCTGCTTTGTAATTGTGCTGAAGGCTAGAGTATGAACTGTAAGTATGCCTCTGAAGAGATAACAGCATGTTACCTAGAAGTAGCACTTTCATAAAAGCAGTAGCAAGAACAGGAAAAAGAGAAAAGGTTATGCCAATGCATATATTTTTATTCTTTCTGCTCTCACAGAGGGTACCTCTTCCCAGCACTGAGCTGAGCACAGTGTTAAAAGACTTCTGCTAAAAGCTCAGACCAAGTAGGACTTTACTACCAACTGGTATTTCTACAAGATAAATTTTGGCCTTGCTAGTGATCATTGTATGATAGAAAAGATCTATATCACACATCTAGAAAATAAAAATACATCTTTTTGTTTGGTTTGGGTTTGGGTTTTGGTTGTTTTGTTTGGGTTTTTTTTTGGGGGGGGTATTTTTGTTGTTATTTGGAGTTTTTTTAAGTAAATAGAAACAAATGTAATTGTTGGGGGTTAAGTGCTTTTCAAAACTATAAAATTAGTTGTCTTGTAGACATCCACATAAGATTATGATAGCAGAGATTCTTTCATGATTTGTCTTCATCAGAGGGATTGCTTTCATTTCCTTCACATGTATAAAGAACTTCAAACCTTTCAGTGTTTTCAACAACCTCAATGAAGATTACTTGCAGCATTTCTCCCCTCAAGTTAGCTTTGCAATTCTTGCACATCTATTACACTTCCCTTAAGTTTATAAATAACTAAAGAAAGCAAGACAAATGACAAAAAAAGGTTTT